CTAGAACTCCGGCAAGTGGCTGATGTGTTGGTCTGCACTTCCTGTCCCTCCTTCAGATGGAGCTGCCCTTCTCTGAGTAGCTTAGCTTCCCTGTTCCCCTGGTACCTGGAAACCAACAAGTTTTTTTGAGTTATATGCAAGTCTTCATGTGTATACACAACTTACAGAAAATCCCAGATGAAGGTTTATATTGATCCTCAGATACCATCTCACTCTGCCCCCACGTTCTGAAGGTCTCTGCTGAGACTGTGCAGAACCTCTAGAGTTGGAAGACTGTGCTTAAGCTCCGTTAGTCTAGTTAAATGCACCTGTAGCCGTTGCCTGTTGGCAAGGGAGTGACTTCTCCGACTGTTTGCCAGAATCCCTTGAGCAAGCCAGCACATTACAATGGGAATCAGTGTGCACCACACTCTTTGTCATACCAACTTTTACTGTTCGTTTTTGCCAGTACAAAATCCATACTTAGAGTCATAATTGCATCCTTCGGGAAACTGCTTTAGAAGTTTATCTTCGTAACTCGGGTGGTTATTTCCCCCAGCAGGTGTTAGGCATCCATCTTAAACATATCCATCTTATTAGGCATTGTCATTGCTTGAGTGGTTCCCACTCCTGTGTGAGTACCATGAGGGAATCCTTTCTTCTCAGTGTGGTTGTTACTGGGACAGTCAGTGGCATAAAACAGACCCTGAACCAATGGACAAATGCAGTCAGCCTACCAGCCATGAGGGAGGACCATCTTATACTGTATCCAACTCAAAAGCCAGGTGCAGGCACTGTCAACAGTCCCCTTAAATATTGAGCCAGGGAGTCAGAAAAATTGCTTAATCCCAGTAGTACTTTAACATGCTAAACATATTTGATCAATGCTAGAAAAAGTCAGATTTTTAAATTTATTTATTTATTAATTTTTTGTTTCATGAGACTTTTTAACTTCCTTTTTACTTTAGAAACAATCTTATTTTACATATTAATCCTTCTATTCCCTTTCCCTCCCATCTTCCTATGCCACCTCAAATCCCCCCCAACCCACCTCCACCGACTCCCCAAGGTCTTCCATGGGGGATCATCAACGTCTGTCACATCATTTGGGGGAGGGCCTAGGCCCTCTTGTGTATTTGGGCTGCAGTAGTGTCCCTCCATAGAGAATGGGCTCCCAAAGTCCATTTATGCTCTAGGGATAAACACTGGTTCCACTGTTAGAGCTCCCATAGACTGCCCAGGTCTCAGGAGAGAAGGTTAAATTTATTTTTTCATTCACAATTATCTTTTACTTTGTAGATGGAGTTTGGATCTTAGAAAATATATTGTAATATAAGCTATATTTTATCATGCAAAGCACAAAATATAATATTTTCTCTTTTAACGTAAAACCAATCTGTTTCATGTTAACAGTACCCCTTAAAGGGGACATCTATGTATAGCTAGAATTATTTATTATAGAATCCTTTTGAAAGCCTGCAGTTATGAGGGGCTAGAAAGATGGCCCAGTTATTAAGAGAACTGGCTGGACCCTGGTTCCATTCCCAGAATGCACATGGTGGCTCACAATTGTCTCGAATTCCAGTTACAGGTCATTGGACACCCTCTTCTGACTTTTGTGGACACCGGGCATGTGCACAGATTTGCATGCCGGTCAAACCACTCATACCCGTTAAATTAAAAACTATAAAAAAAATCAAAATTTCCAGTATTTTACAGTCTTACTGGGTTTAACACACCCCAAAGCACTTAGATAGCTCTTGAAAATGCAAACTGTATCTTGTGTGGCCTGCTATGACAGCATGTCTTTTTATTGACTGAAATGTCCATTAACAATAAATATAGCTCTGTTAACTAGGATGAAAGGATGAAAGAATGTTTAACGTATTGTTCATATGTAACTGAAGCATTATATACTTAACTTTTGGTCCACCACTCCATCAGTCCATTCCGTTTATTGTCCTTTAAGATGATTGTCCTTAGGGGACTCAAAGCGGGGACAATACCATTAAATCTCTCAGCTCAGCGACTTTCCAACTGTCCACAGAGTCACATCTTGTGACCATGGAGAGAGTCCTCTCTTCCAGTGTCTGAAGTCACTGTTTACACTCTGTGACTGTGTATTTCCAGGAATGCAAGAGCCAGCAGAGCCTGGAGGTACAGCTGTATTATTTGTGTGGTCTGAAAGCCTTGAAACAGGATTTTCTCAGCCTCATAAAAGCAGAAAAATTATCCTTTCTCAAAATAAATGGCTGTAATGGAAACAGTTTTTCCTGTCACAGATAAAAGCTAGAGAATGCAAAATCAGCTTTTGAGATAGTTAACTCACAGTGACTTAAATAAAAAAGGACCACAAAGCATCATGTAGTACATGTCCCCAAGTTTGGATACGTGTTTTTGTTATTGAAACCTAGAAAGTACATAATGCACTTGGTAGGGAAAGCTAACAAAACTAGAGATGAAAACTCCTTAGGTCAAGATTTCAGGTTTTCTTATCTGGTGTGGAGGGGCGGGGTGCCTCTTTGCATTATTTGGTCAGTTTAGCCGCTAGTATTACTGTCCTGTGTGTTAAGTTCACCATTACAAGCGTGGGAAACCAAAGCTGTCTTTTGATGTTTGAGGAATCAGTAGGATTCAAGGTCTCTGTGCCTCCAGCTTTTTCTCATTTATCTCCAAGGTTATGGTGAGAAAAGCAGGGGTTTCAAATTAGAGTTTCTCCCTGAGTCCACCATCACCCCTTGACAGATTTTTGCACTCAGGAAGCCACTTAGTTTTTCTGAGTTTGTTTATTCTTTTGTAATCCAGTGTTTCAAATGCTACTCTGCCTTAGTCCTTGGGCTGTGCTCAGGGCAAACAGAGTCAAAATACGCTTCCTGTACTATAGAATGCTTTACAGGTTCCAGGTGGGCCTTTTACAATCCCCATTTTGCAGGCGTGGAAAGATGGAAAGAAGTTAGCCAGCCTATGACAGGCCACAGAAGTAGTCAATGGGAGATCTGCTTTCACAAGCTGATTCTGTAATTACAGCGTTTCTCAGCACTGCACTATTGACATTTGGGGTCGTTTGAGGGGGCTGTCCTGTGATTTTTTAGGACACTGAACAACAACACTTCTACCTCTCCCTGCTAGATGTCACCACCACTCCCTCCCAGTTGTTGACAGCTAAGACTGTCTCAGGGTCTTCACAGCTGAATTTCCTACCACTGTCACAATGGTGCCCGTTGCTCTTTTAACTACTCCATGGCACAGTAATCTGCAGAATGTAAAGAGACGCCTGATTTTGTCTTTATAAGGTGGTGTATTTTATCTCCAAGCAGACTGCATAGAAGCATAATCACCACTGCCCTCAGTGGACCCTGTGTCAGACTCAGTGACCTGTGATCTCCCAACCCATCTAATTCCATAACCATTTCTTAATCCCTAATGGGATACACATAAATCTATCTTGAATGCCCCTTCCCATCTGGTAACAGTGGAAAAGTGGGAGACGGAGAGGGAAAAATCACTTGAATTTATGTAGCATATTGCCTTTTAAAAACCAGTATATTTTTGTTATTTATTCATAGTTCTTGAGACAGGCCCTTAGTATGTGGCTCAGGGTAGTTTACATACACTTACAGAGCCTGGCCTGCCCTAAAACACATTTCCCAGCTTATTATCTCATCTGATCATCACAGAAAGTCCTGGAGGTTTATGCCAGTTGTAATTGTCCTGTGTTTAGAAGTCATTTAGGAACTGTAACCCTTCTTTCTTGCCTGTTCCCTCAACTTTGGTGCTCTCGTCGTAAAACTTGATATAGGAGCTCAGCAGGAAGTGGATATGGGAACTCAGCAGGTGTTTTCTTTCCAGCACCATATGAAGACTAACGTCCTCTGAAGAGCTCTCCATAAAGCTGATGCCTTCTGCCCTGCAGGGCTCTGCCTTTTTCCTTTCCTTGTAACAGGGATCGTTAACTACATGCCCCTTACACTGCAGTTGGGAGGCAGGCACCAACTTCCCTGATGCTGTTGACACTTCTCTAAGAATGGTGATTTTACTTCTGTTTGGCCTAGTGCAAAGCTTCCGAAACCTTCCACTCTGGTCAGCATTATCTCTGTGTTTGACTCTCATCCCCACATTACCATGGTTCCCAATTTATTGTCACCTCTGAACTAAAATTCCATAAACATTGATGGCTGGTTAGCATTGCTTGTTTCTCTGTTATTAGAACAATTGGGAAATTCCAGGTGTTTGATCCGGGCCTTGTTGATAGTCTGCATGACTATCACATAGACTGTATGTGCACATAAGCCTGTATGAATTAAGTTGTGTTTTAGACACTGGGTTAAGATGAATTGCAACTGGCAAACACATCAAGTATAATTGCATATGATTAAAAGTATCAGCATGACCTGAGGAGAAGATGATGTGCTTACCAACAGTGTTAAGGGTGCAGAATTGCCTAGCAATCTTCTAAACTCAGAATTCTGCTAACTGAGTATCTAAAAGAGTGGTTTGAACCAAAGGGAACATGAACTAGATTACTTCATGGATATATAACTTTACTGTCAATTAAAACACTATTTTTTTCTTTAAAGTGGATGTGAGTCATTCTAATTACTTGATAGTTCATTTAAAAGAGATTGATTGGGCTGGGCTTTGGTGATGCACACCTTTTATCCTAGCACTCGGGAGGCAGAGGCAGATGGATCTCTGTGAGTTAGAGGCCAGCCTGGTCTACAGAGCGAGTGCCAGGATAGGTTCCAAAGCTACACAGAGAAACCCTGTCTTGAAAAACCATTAAAAAAAGAGTGATTGGTTGTTGCTGTAAAACCCAATGTCTGCCTCACTTGAGTCACTTCTTCCTATATTGGGAGATTGGCATGTATCCTGTTGTCCAGATCTGCCCCTCTCATCGGGTATTGGGAGATTGGCATGTATCCTGTTGTCCAGATTTGCCCCTCTCATCGGATTTGATGGGCATCCAGTCATCCCACATGTTCTGTTAGTAAAGCATTGTGATTTTCTTCTTCTCCCCCCAGGTGGCCTTTTTGAAGATATAGCTGTTGAATCTTGTAACACGAAAAAAAATAAAAGACCCAGAGGCTGATATTGGGGTTCAAGCTTCAAGCTGAAGATCAGAAAAGCAAAGCAGCCGACCATTAGCTCTTACCTCTACCTTAACTCAGACCAAAGGGCCGGTCCTCAAACTGCTCCCGACTTCACTGCTCCTCAGATTCACTCAGACTGCTATGCTCTCCTTAATATGGTTAGAGACTCTCGAGTCTTCAATGTCTTCCTATCCTCAGTGTGGCTGGAGAATGATTACCAGCTCTGATACCCTGTTCCTGTCTTAGATACCTCTCCTGAGTCCTGGGATTAAAGGTGTGTACCACCTCTGCCTGATCTCTTTAGCTTGAGGCTGACTTTGCTTTCTGAATCTTCAGGCAAGCCTTAATAAATCAAATAATGCCTCACCACAGAAGCTGAGGCTTTCTGGTCGACCAGCAGACAGCTCTCCAGCACAGAGCACAGCCAAGGCCGGGAGTCTGCCAAGTTGAACAAGAACTAGAGCTGCAGAATGAGGACCTCGTGCTAAAATTTCCTGTTACTTGTCTGCATTTATTCTTTAAGCATTGACTTTAGATCCATGGATGCCCAAGTCTACAAGGAAAGTTGTAGTAGCAGGCTGTATAGAAGTATAAAGTCACACCTCTACTTCCCACAGAGAGGAATATTCAAATCTATGCTGTGTCAGCACCACCTGGAAGCATATTAGCTAATGGAAACCCATCTGTCCTATGTGAACACAGCAAGGAACTTCACTGGGGAGCTGAATGTTAACTGCTGTAAATCCTAGGAAATAAACTTTTAAAGAGCTCCGGGTTTGTTTAAGACACATTTTAAAAAACTGAAAGGTAGAAGTTTTCATATCCAATTCAAAGAAGGCGCTTGTTGGTGTTTGCTGAATGAGTGATTATCCAATTAAAGTTTTCCTGAGGGTGTAAAACCACGTGTGTTCTTTTTGTTCTTTATTTCCTTCACCACATGCTATTGCAAATTAATAAATGTACAATGCTGGCTTCTGACTGTAAAGTCATCTCGGTTCCTATGTGCCCAAACAAGAACACATTGAGAGTAAGAGCTGAGCCCAATCCTGCAGAGCCCAGGCCAGCTCCTGGTTTCATGGAGAAGACTTGAGACTCGCCTGGAATCCCACAGCTTGGCTCAAGAGCTGGGACTGGAGTTGTGCCTTGGGCCAGGTTGATTGATCTCCCCTGCTGAGGATCCATCCATGTTTTCCCTCCTTACGGCACATTCAGGAGGACATTTCCAGGGCCTGCAGCCGTCCCTGCCGTGGATCTCACCTGGTGGTGTTAATCCTAGGTTTCAGGTCACCTAATACCTCTTGCTCCCAAACAAGTTTTCTGTCCCAGCAGTCTCTGACATTCTTAGTTGTAGGTATCACTTGCTACCCTGATTTGGCTCCTCTTCCTTGGAGGTTACCCAACAGAACAATGACATTAGGGATTAGAGCAAAATTAGCTGTCCTGATTATGTAGCTAGTGGATTGGCTGGATCCTGCAGTGTCGCTTTATTAAGCACAGTTTGCAACCCTGATGTTCTTGGTGTTATGGCCAAGACTCCAGCCATGGAGAATTAGTTTGGCTTCACTTAAGATGCTAGGATACCAACACCATGCAGACTTTTCATTTCTGGCCGTAGAGAGCAAGATTTCTTGACCTTAGTCCTTTGTCCATTGGGCCTGGGTGATTCTTTGCTGTGGGAGAATGCCCTGTACATACAGGTTCGGAAGCATTTCTGACCAGTACCTAAAAGGGCAGACAGTATGTTCTCTTCTGTCCCCAGCTCTGCTGTCCAAACTGTGGGCACATGGTTGACAGAACTGACTGCTTTTAAGAACCATTGCTACAAGAGAGGTGGCCTGAGACCAGCTACAGTTATGTATCACTGATCATAAAATTGTGGGTCTTCTACCATGTGGCCTAGACTAAGTGTCTCTTTTGTGTGATTGTTAGAGTTCAGCTTGTATTACGCTAATGGTGCATCTGTGATAAATCAGATGTACTGACGTTTAGCCTGTGAGGACCAAGAATTTTCCACTGCAGTAGTTCTGCTCTGCTAGGGAAAAGAGAAGCCAAGAGCATACAGATGTATGTTTATGGTTAAGGTGCTATTCTTTCCAAAGGTATAGCTTCGACTGTGAGGGGGCTCAGTTGCTAAAATGCTGCAGCATAAGCATAAGAGCCTGTGCTTGATCCCCAGCATGAATGTGAAAACACGGGTGCGGAGGCATGTGCGATAGCCCCAGAGCTGGGAGAGGCAGAACAGTGGATCACTGGAATCTAGTGGATCACTAGACTCCATGCAGTCTAGCTTAACTGGTAAGCCCCAAGTCCCAGTGAGAGACTGTCACTAAAAAAACAAGGTAACTCCTGGGGAACAATAACTGAAGCTCGTCTCTGGCCTACACTTACACTAGCACAAACATGCATAGATACATAAAAACATTGTTGGGGAAGTCCTGTGCATTTGTCAATAAAGTACTGTCTGGCCAATGGGGAATCTAGATAGGAGGGACTAGGAGTCCAGGAGGACTCTGGGTAGGAGAAACACAAAGAGTCGAGATGTAACGCCATTGGGGTAGGAAGCCCGGAAACCTCTCCGGTAAGAGACATACTTAGATTAACAATTATGGGGTAATTACTTAAGTCAGAGCTAGCCAGTAAGAACCAAACAAACGGCCAACAGCTTCATAATTAATATAGCCTCCTGTGTGTTTATTTGGGACTGATGCCGATCTAGAACCAGGCGGGCGGGAAGGCTCCTCTCAAGGAAAAAGCTTCTTTTTACAAAACATACATAATTTCTGCTCAAAAAATGAGCTAGAATGTTATTTTGATTTACTAACTTTGTCTTGCTAAGTTGCTTGGAGTCAAATGTAGTAAGAACCCTGTGGTCTAAAGAAGAATCAAGTCAACTTTATTTCTGGTGATTGCCATGGTCTGGTGAGCAGTGCAGGGGACAATGAATAAGAGAAACTGAGGAGTGGGTAAGAGACCACACCAGGCCCACAGGACCGGTGGTCTGTTAGTGTACTTTTGATGTCATCAGCCATACAATTTAAACTCTCAGACTCATTGGTCTCTACTCATCCTTCCATGGTTGGGAAGGGAGCATCTGCTGAGCTGAGCCAGTTTCCCAAGTGGATTGTTCATGTCTACACCGTGGGAGGGTCCGAATTTCTAAGGGTCCTGTGGAACCAGACGGGAGGAAAAGGGAAATAGAACCTTTCTAAATGCAGTTATCTCTGTCTAAATAGAAGAGCCTTGCTCTGTGTCTATATGACCATGAGCAGAGACAGTCACACACAGAAAACTACCATTAAAAACTATTTAAATTCAGCTCAGCGCTGGCTGTAGAGTGAACACTGACCCTAGGAATTTACTCTAGAATTGTTTCCTGTGTCTTGTGACTATATACTTACAATTCCAAAATCTTTTCAGCAGCACTCCTAGATAACAGAATCACAGAATTCGGCACACCATTAAGGGGACCAGAGGCATGATAAAATGAATTTCCAGTTCATCTTCTAATCTCTAAAGCCTGCTGTAAATAACTGGTTCTGTGGATTTATTCTCACATGGTATAAAATTACAATAGATTAAATTTATACTAGCCACCTGTAAGTTTGACCAGTCGATGCATGTTTTATTAACTACTTCAAGACAAACATAGTTAGGCAGGTGAGACAATGACTTTGGCTCCTACAGCTTACTGTCTCATGGAGGAAACAGACAAGAAGCATGATATTGTATTATGTCATCATTTTGTATCATAATTTTAAATCACATTATACTATGTTATCATTTCAGAAAATAATAAAACTGAGCAAAGGAAGTAAGATGGGAGGTACTATTGTAAACAGGAAAATCTAAGTTGAGCTTAAGGTCTTTATAAACCTTTGGTGCCATATTTAACCAAAATACTTAAATTCTCCCAGGTCTCAGAAAGTTGAAGCAGGAGCACTACAAGTTCAAGGCCATCAGCATGGACCATGTAGTGAGACTCTGTCCCAAGGCAGCTCTATCAAGAGTGACTTTGAAGATGAGTCATAAAATAGATATATTGCACATAAAACTTATAATTTCATTTTGCCAAAAAGTAGCTTGGCTAAATAAAGGTCTACTAATATTAACAAAACTCACTGGGCAGTGGTGGCGCAAGACTTTATGTGTGTGTGCATTCTTAATGTAAGTCTAAATACTGGAATCTGTATTATGCTATAACTTAGAGATGTAGATTGACTGATATATCTGATATATCCTAATCTACAGTTAGAATCACCATTTATCTACTAATCTACTAATCTAAAAATTTTATATACTTCAGAGTATATAGTCAGGACCACTCAGTATGAGATGCTTAAGATGTCATCTTCCAAATCACCCCATTAGTTCTTGATCTCAGGGGGAAAGAGGGAGAGCCCCTTGCCTTGAGATTAGCTATTATAAGTAAGTGCTCCAGTTTTAAGAATGACAGACACAAACCTGTTTGAAACATTTTAAAATTCATTGGATCTGCACTATTAATTTTTTAAAGGGCTCCATTTTCATGTAGGAATAAAGTAAACCAGCTAATTCTCAATATTCTTATAAACTAAGAAACCCAATTTCAGGGCCCAGATTTATTCTAGGTCCTCTATATACAAGGTGCAATAAGCAGAGTACAGGGTTTCCAGTTCCACTGGTTAGTTCTGCTTCCAGTGGACCCACCAATGGCCTTCTCCAGCCCTTCTGATCAGCATGGGAACTTCTCTTGGGATGATACTGTTTTTTAGTTTGCTTTATATGGCTGTAATAAAGCCAGGACCAAAAGCAACTTTGGTAGGTGTGGTGATTTAAATAGTTCCTTTGGATGCTTGATCCATAGTGAGTGGCACTATTAGGAGGTGTGGCCTTGTTGAAGTAGGTGTGGCCTTGTTGGAGGAAGTATGTTGTTGTGGGAACAGGCTTTGAGGTCTCATAGCTCAAGCTATGCACAATGTGTATATGTCTTCCCTGCTGCCTACAGATCAAGATGTAGAACCTCTCCAACACTATGTCTGCCTGCACAATGCCATGTTTCCTGCTGTGATGATAATGGACTAAACCTCTGAATTATAAGCCAGCTCCAATTAAGTGTTTTTTTTTTTTAATAAGAGTTGCCATGGTCGTGGTATCTCTTCACAGCAGCAGGAATCCAAACTAAGACAGAAGTTGGTATGAGGAACTGGGATATTGCTGTGATAGGCCTGACCATGATTTTGTTTGGAGGAATGTGGACTTTGACACTTAAAGGGCCATACCAGTGGAGCATGGGAGAGGGTGGTGCTGAGCGTGGTTTGAACTATGTGGGTCTGGCTCATGAGTTTTCAGAGGAGAAGAATTTTAATATATTGCCTAGAGACTATTTTGGTGAAGAATATGACTGTTTTTTGCTGTTATCTAGAGTCTTCCTGAGGTTAAAATGAAGACATCTGGATTAATTCTGTTGGCAGAGGAAATCTCAAAACAGCCTAGTATTGATTCTGTTGTGTGGTTTTTAATGGTCACTTTTATGGAGATCTATAATGAAAAGGAGCAAGCTGAGAAAGTAAAATAGAAAATTTACAAATTGGGGAGAAAGGGGGCACCAGGAAGTAGAATGGAGCTAAGTCCTGTGTTCAAGCAGATAAACAGATTAAGAAATGGAATAAAGGGAGTGGTGACCTCAGGGTATGACCCTACCCAGCTAAGCTTCCAACCTGTGAGAATGAATTAAAGAACATCTTAGATCTAGGCATGGGGGTGCATGCCTTTAATCCCAGTACTCAGAAATCAGAGGCTGAGTACTCTGAGATTGAGGCTGGCTTGATCTACAGAGGTCTACGTTCCAGGACAGCCAAGCTTAGTGAGTGAAGGAAACATCAAAAACAGAAATCTGGTGAAGATGTACTTGAACAAGGAT